TAATAATAATGATGGACTATTCCATACTTAATAAATACTGTGCCTCAGGAGTTGGCAAGCAGTGAGTCAGTGGAGTCAGTAATTCAAGTCGAGTCCAGAGTCGAGTCAGAGGCAGTCGAAACAGAGTCGCGTTCAGACAATTACTGCAAGACATTGGAATAGTGATACTGGTCGAGACTACATTGTTCTCTCTACTAAACCTGATTGTTCATACTAACACTTCTACTTCTCTGTATATATTCCTGTTTGTAATATATCTATGTTATTCCATACCTGTGTTCGAGTTCTTCTTTATTGGTTCTATCTTGGACTATCACCGTGGTACAAGGAACCGGACCATAACACACACACACACACACACACACACATATATATATATATATATATATATATATATATATATATAACCAGGACAGATATTTTGATTAAGCTCCACAGCATTCCAAATATCAGTTTCTTGCTCAAAATATGTCTCCGTTAAAAATAATGTGCCCACCTACGAAAAAAGTTTGTTTTTGTTCTATAAAATAAGAGTTGTTTGGAACAATTATCGATTTTCTCGTAGGAGAAATCTGTATATGAATGGTTGCACATTTCCAAGCATGCCTGACTGCTAGGATATCTATCTGATCCTTGTTGCAGACGTCTGCTCAGGCTTATTTAAGTCGATACACATATAAAAATTAGTAGTAATTTATTCCGAAGATAAATACGGTACTAACAGTCGAGAACACAGTCTACTGGAATATCAGTTAATCGTGAACTTCACCTGAGTTCTGTTCAACTTCAATATTGACCCAAGTCCGAATAAAAGCGATTTTCACAGTTATAGCCCTTTTCTCACATCATTTCATTGCAATACACGGAACGTTATCCGGGAGTATGAACGGATTTTATTAAAAATAAGCAGACATTATGTCTGTAATTTATTTAATTATATATATATATATAAATATATATATATATATATATATATATATGTGTGTGTGTGTGTGTGTGCGTGTGTGTGTGTGTGTGTGTGCAAATATATAGAAAAAATAGGAAAGAACAGATTAGGTAAATAATCCAAAGTTCTTTGATATTTTTGTTTTTATTTTAGTTATTTTGTTTTGTTTCCATGTAAATAGAATTTAATTATATTGTAAATACTCATTGGGGATTTTTTAAAATTGTTGTTTTATTCTCCTCCCACCTCCCACCCCCCAATTCTCCCACAATCAAAGAAATGTACATATGGGGACTAGTTAGGAATTCACAGAGACATTGAGGTATTATGATGGATGTAGTAAGAAAGGTAGGAGAGAATGTGTTGTTTTGGTGATAGGATTATTGTTGGTATGTTTGGGTCAGTGTTTGTGGCTAGCTATTTTTTAGAATTAAGACAGAAGACCGTCCTTTTCCCCAATCGCCCTTTTGGCCTTGTGTCACATTTTGTACTATCGTACAAATAAATATCTATTCCAAAAATTTCGCTTGAAGGTGAAACAGAGCTTGATACTTTAATTCAATTTAATCTTTATAATTAAATTGAAATTCTTGGATCCTGCTTTTGAAACATGAGAACTCTTATGTAGCGATGGAATCATTTTTTTTAAATAATTATATATATATATATATATATATATATATATATATATATATATATATATATAATTAACAAACTGGAGACTTCAGAAAGGCATATATTTCGCGAGACCGATAAAATTCGGTTTTGCTTCGTCAAACCTTGCGATTTGAAAACAATGAGTGGATTCAATAATTCTTCCAGGAATCAACTAATTAACGAAACGAAGGACAAGATTAGCGAAAGTTGTATTTTAAGACAGTTACATAGGGTAAGAAGGGGAGGAGGGAGGTGTATTTCTCTAGGAGATAGGATGGTTGTGGCGATGACCTCTCATTCACCGGACAAAAGAAAAGAATAAAGAAAGAGGGAGGGGCATGGAACAGAAGAGAGGAAGGAAGAAGTCGGAGATATTACACAAATCACCATACCTACGTACATACACATTTTTCTATATACACATATAATTACATTTACACATATGTGCTTACATCCATTCATACCTTCGCATCCATCTACACATATATGTGTGATTTCACGTAAATCTGTCCACCCATACGTATGTATACACACACATATATACACCCATACTCGTCTATTTGCTTGTATTCATAAACACTTATGTACATATTTGACTAGTACATTCCTAAATCAATACTTAGATAACATGTAAGATGTCCTCAAATACATTAGTAATCGTGTAGCTATAAAGAGACACTTAAGGACGTTTTCATCACGTGACCCCAGATATATACACAACGCTTAATCTATGCAACTACTTCAGAGATAACATACAGCACAAGAATACTTACGTACCGATTTACACAGACGAGGGGTACACATGTCTGCATGTGCAAAAACTATGTCCCAGCACAGATACAAAAGCAAAAAAGTACTATAGTATGCTTGTGTATACATGTACATGAAGTAGAATGAATTACTTGCTGTGTTTACTACATTGAGCTCTCGGGATTTATGTCCTCCTTGGGATTATCCATACGGATTACCAATTAACTTCATCATTATATATATATATATATATATATATATAATATCGACAAATAAATTTATATATATATATATATATATATATATATATATATATATATATTTATTTATTTATATATTTTCTTTAGATATATATATTTGCTCTTAGGTTTACATTTTCATAAACTCTATATATATATATTTTATATATATTATATAGTTTTTTTATATTTTATATATATTTATATAATATTATATATATATATATATATATATATATATATATATATATATATATATATATATATATATATATATATATATATATATAATTTTGTATAATTTTATATATCAACAAACAGTATTTATAAAAATAGATATGACAAATAGGAAACATTTTTGTGATGCGTTTCAGCCGTCAGGATTTCATCGGACTGGGCTTTGTTGATGTTGCTACGTCTACACATTGGCACGAAGCGAGAGACGCTGGTAGTTTCAAAATTTTGTACAGAATATTTTTGAAAGAATATATTTTTTTAAATAGGGAGAGCGTATAGAAATATAAAAGTGGCCATTGGGTTCAACACCCAGCGGCGACAGTCTGTTTCATGCTTTAGGCCAGAAGATTACAAAACAGAAATAACAAACATCCTCTCATTAATAAAATATGAATTAGATAAATCGAAAAATAAAGATTTTATCTCATGTTGGATATCGTACCATATCAGTATCCAGGGAAATAAAAATGGCGATAAAACGGAAAAAGAAACCTCACTAAATGCGAAACCTCCAAATATTAAATACTCTGACTTACGCCGAACGAATATCACGTTTGTGAAAAACAAATGCTAGCAATTGTGGACCAACTGTCAGACAAACTTCGGAGAATGGCACCCGGACAACAGAAAGATAAGAAGAACCATCGTTGTGCATACCATTTTAGGAATCATACACATTTGAACATGAATTGATAATGTGTAACGAATTCTAACCAACACCCTAGAACGGATAACCCAAAGGAACTGTTCGAAAATAGCGAACCAATTGAGATTGTGCAGTTTGTAAATGGGATTGCCTTCGAGAATAAAAGTTTTCCATCTATTTCTGCATGGTTTGTACTCATAAAAGTTTTACAAACTATTTTTAAGGAAAAACTTTATTACAATCTATTTTTACGCCAGTTGTATGTGGAAAAAAATCATTGTTACGTAATTTATATTGATCTCTAAAATTATTAATACAATATTCGCTCGCAAAATGTATGATTCTTTATATTATGTTTCAAATAACCTCGAAAAGGTTGATAAAACGTAAAACAAATTAATCATAAATATTTTAGAATACACATTTTTCTCCTTTGTACCGTTTCCTCTCAGATACTTATACTTTGTTGCTATTAGTAAATTTTGTCTTTTTGCTATCTATCCTAATCTCTGTTTTGTCAAACATTTACACGATCTCATTCTTCTTCTATGTGCCGTGTCCTTTCAAGACGAAGGCGATCATGCCTCTCCACAATTTTCTCTCCTTCGTGGCTCTTAGTAAATTTTGTCTTTTTGCTATCTATCCTAATTCCTGCTCTGCCAACCATTTGCACAATCTCATTCTTCTTCTCTTATGTGCAGTGTCGCTTCAGGAAGAGGGCGATCATGGCTCTCCACAATTTCCTGATCTTTGTAGCTCTTAGTAGAATCAGTCATATATTTATATATATATATATATATATATATATATATATATATATATATATATAATATCGACAGCTTCTGTCAATCCAGTCTTTTATTATTTTTTCAAATTTCCTAATTATTTGTATTATATATTCGGCAAATTTACCAAAGTTTATATTTATATTTTAGTTTTTGCCGAATGCTTTCGAATGTTGCTACATCCATTTTCAAGGTGATGTTTTGTGTATATTTATGTAATCGTTTCAATAATATCACTCTGAGGGATTTTGAGTGACATTAAATTAGGCATCGTTCTCTATCGAGTATCGTATAATGAAGTATATTTAATAAAAAAAAATGCATATAAAATTCCAGTTTTACCGTTTGCAATTGGTTCCAACAAATGTGGGAACAACGGAATTAACCAAAAACAATTATACACAACCCTAACCCTGCAGAATCCTTAAAAACGAATTCAGCAACATTCTTAAGATGTGAAATTGCAAAACACCATGAAGTTTTGATTTCTATCTATGACATATATTGACACACACATATATATATATATATATATATATATATATGAAAGAGAGAGAGAGAGAGAGAGAGAGAGAGAGAGAAAGAGAGAGAGAGTGAGAGAGACAGAGTCGACATTTCCGAATTAATAAGACAAATATTATGTATAATAACAAAAGCATTGGCACGACGTAGAATCGGTAAAATTCCAAAATAACCCATTAGAAAAGAATAAAACTGAGAAAAAGGGAAACAACTAACTAATGCCAACGGAAGAAATCAAAGCGCCTGTCATCTGTCTGTCTCAATTTTCTTTCTTTCTTTCTTTCTTTCTTTCTTTCTTTCTTTCTTTCTTTCTTTCTATTCATATCTATCTATCTATCGTTATCATATATTATTATATATATAAATTAATATATATATATATATATATATATATATATATATATATATATATATATATATATATATATATAAAAGAAAAAGAACAGTAAGATATAAAATCCGGTGTTCTTATAGATATTTAAGCGCATGGTCAAATACACGAAAAGGAAAATAAATGCATATAAATGTGACAAGTTAGTCTGAAGATAGAAGCAAGTGTAACACGGAATATGACGAAAAAAGCCATTGGCTTGAACGTAAAGCTAAGATCATTTATCTAAACGGGGAAAGAAATGTAAGGAATACTTTGTTTATATGAATATGTGTAGAGTTTGCAAGAGGAATACATTTTGTAACATTGTATGTGGACAGTGTACACGTGTTGAAAGGATTCTACATGTAGAGATACAAGTGTATAAAATATGGCGACATTAGATGAATGTTTAAATAATAGCATATAAATAAAATAGAGAAATCTAGAGAGAAGATTTATTAAAAGTTACAAGTTAAGGCGTTTATCTGCGTCTCGTCGTGATAACGCACGCATATAGCACGGACGCGTACTCTCAGGGAAAAACAATATATATGTGTGTGCGTGTGCGTGCGTGTATGTGCGTAACAGTAAAATTATCCAAATCGTGTAAAAACAAAAATATCCAATCGTTAGATTAAGATTTGAGCCGTTGTATCTTAGAATTGATTAAAGATATCTGATAGTACAAAGTTTAAAAATAAATTATGTCGTTTAAAAGACGCCCTGGTTTACCACATTCACAGTGGAAGGATTAAGCGCATGGTCAAATACACGATTCCGGAACGATGACCAACAGTGACCAACGGTAAACGCCAGTATACAAATTAATAAGATTTAATTACAAGTAGACAATAGATAAAAAACAAAACAAAAAAAAAACATTTAGGTAAGAAAATGCATGGAAAAATGTTTGCCACACATGTCTTTGTGGAAAGGAGCATGCGTTATTTTATGAGGGCAAAAGTTGAAACAAAAACATAGCTTCATTTTTTTCTTCTGAAATAAAATAAGATTTTCTCTTTTCCCCTCTCTCTCTCATTCTCTTGTGATTCTTTGTCCCTTTCAATTTCAAACCAGTTCGATCGCTCAAGTATCAGTGTCCTTTGATCTTTTCTTCTTGCTTCAATATTGCGTTCATTATCTGGCCATTTAGTTTCGGTACTGCAGAAATCATACTTTTGGTCATGAAGATTCGATGCTGTGTAAGCCATACGTTTTAGCTGTGAAGAATTCATGTTTCTGACCTTTCGTCAAAATTAACTATATCACATATGCCGTCACGTTTCGCTATTTACCTATGACCTTAATGTAAGCTGAATAGTGTTAAACTAAATTGGAGTTCGTCTCTTGTCGTGCGATCTCTCTTGCTTGATTGTAACAAGTGAATGAGGAATTACCCTAGCAAGACTCGTCTCCGTTTAATTCTGTGTTGAAGTTTCATGTGAGTTGGGGGTTGTCATTCCTTCTCTTCGATTCGGAAAGTCAATTCACATGAGATTCGTCACCCAGTTCTGAGTTCTGTCGATCTTTCCTGCATCGTTTGTCGTATATGGTTACGTGATTTGTCACGTGTATGAAAATCTATTTTTAGCTTTGGCTTCCATCTGTTGCCGTGGTCATCATCCTGACCTAATTGTCTTTGCATTCAGCGACTGCTATTGCATACCAAGGGTGAAAGGGGGGGGGAGTTTACATATATTGTTAGAGAGATGGGAAAAAGAGATGGATCACTAAGTGTAAGATTTTGTCTGAGTATAGGTAGTGAGTCGCGGAAAGCCGTAACATCTCGCGCAAATGAAAAAAAAAAGAATTATAATTCCTTTTTTTTTCCACCACTGATGAATTTAGTTACGAGACAGTGCATCGGCATCCTTATGCTCTATGTTCCTGATGTGTTCGATCCTTAAATTGAATTCTTGTAATGCTAAATTCCACGCTAAGAGGCGTCTATTTTTATTCTTCATTCTGTCTCAGAAAACCAATGGATTGTGATCCGTGAATATTACAGTATATGGTTGCGACATATCTACGTAAATTTCGAAATGTTTTAGGCTAGATATTAAGGCTAAATCTTCTTTTTCTATCGTAGAATATCCTTTCTGATGTTTATTCAATTCTCGCGAATAGTAACTAACCCGTTGCATTCTATTGTGATCGTCGGTTTGTAATAATATTGCACCAATTCCTATGTTACTTGCGTCAACTGCAATAGCGAAAGTGTAGTTAAAGTCTGGAGCTTCAAGTACTGGAATGGTACTTAACAAATGTTTAATTTTATCAAAGGCTTCCTGAAATTTCAATGTCCATATAAATTTGATCACTTTCTTTAATAAGTCAGTCAGCGGAGAAGAAATTTCAGAAAAAAAAATCCTCAACATTTTCAGTAATATCCCGCATTTCCCAGAAAATCTTTTTACATTTGTCTTCTTTTTCTTTTTATCAGTTTTGTCCTTTCAGGGCGTAGGCGATCATGGCTCTCCATTTTTCCCCTATCCCTTGTAGCTCTCAATAAGTTTCGTCCCTCAGTCACACCAGAACACATTCTGTCAGTCACTTGCTTAAGCCCGCTAGGTATATCACGCGTTGCTTTTCCTTGTCTCTTTCCCTCTATCCGCCCTGTGAGTATCAAATTCTCCAAGCCCTCCTTTCTCACTACGTGTCCCAGAAATTTCAGATGAAAGAGATCAAATGCTACTTCTTCTTTTATGCGCCGTGTCCCTTCAGGACGTAGGCGATCATGGCTCTCCACTTTCTCCTATCCCTTGTAGCTCTCAATAAGTTTTGTCCCTCTGTTACATCCTCCAGAACACATTCTGTCAACCACTTGCTTAAGCCCGCTAGGTATATCACGCGTTGCTTTCCCTTGTCTCTTTCCCTCTATTCGACCTGTGAGTATCAGATTCTCCAAGCCCTCCTTTCTCATCAGGTGTCCCAGAAACTTCAGCTGTCTCTTCCTGATGTTATAAGCCTCCTATTTGTTTGTATTTAAAAAATATAGAGGAGGGGGCTTAGCCTCGACCTCACCCTCCAGGACGGCCTTAAATTCAATTTTCTATCGACTTTTATTTTATAGTTAGTGAATTTTTCTACCTTGTCCAAATTACCGAATCTTCCGTTACCGAATCTTCCGTTACCAAATCTTCTGTTACTGAATTTTCGGTTACCAAATTTTCCGGGCACCGGTTTTATCTCCACATGAAGCATTTTAAAGAGGATTCACAAGCCTTGAGGACGCGCTTGAAGCTATCAGTCTTCATGTATAGGCTACAGTAATCGATTTTCTGTATCACTTTTGTTAAACGCCTTGGGTAGAAACTAGAATTCTGCCTACATCACAAACATATATATATATATATATATATATATATATATATATCATCACAAATATATATATATATATATATATATATATATATATATATATATATATATAAAGAAATATAGTCTTAAGGTGTGCTATATTTATGGAATAAAGTGCTCAATATCAGAGATAGAGCGTGTGGCCTGACGATTGCATATAGCATGAAACAGACTGTCGCCTCTAAGTGTTGACTTCTATGTTCACTTTTATATATATATATATATATATATATATATATATATATATATATATATATATATATGTATTTAGTTGGATTGATGTGAGTTTGTGACCGTGGGTTTCACGCTATTTGCGATCGTCAGACAAACTGATTAATTTTTAAATTTTGGATTTATATATGGTTGTGCATATCGGTGTTTTTATGGAAGTGAGAGGAAAAATTGTCGTCAGGACGCCACTCATACTTACTCAAACATACATACACGCACATGCATTCATTGACATGTGCAGATACACACACACGCACGCTCACTCACCGGAGCTCACATATGTGAACAGTGTGTGACTGGGCATATATTCGCATATATGTGTAGTTGTGCACATACATACGTATTTGGTCGCTGTATTCAATGTTGGATTGAGTAGCGAATATTTCTTGTTTGTTGCGCTGTCAACGGGCAGACAGTTTTTCTATATTTGTTCACTGAATAATGTTTTCTCGCACACACGTATATACGTATATATATATTTGGTTGGATTGATGTGAGCTTGTTACCCTGGGTTTCACGCTTTTGCGATCGTCAGACAATCTTCTAATAATTACCGCGCATATAATATATAAATAATTATATATATATATATATATATATATATATATATATATATATATATATATATATATATATTTAAAATTAAATTGATTTAAAATATATGTTTTTCCGCTACACAGTTCTAACCATGGTTAGAACTGTGTAGTAAAAAACATTTTTAAATCAATTAATTTAAATTATATATATATATATATATATATTTACATACACACATTTTCATATATATATATATATATATATATAGATAGATAGATATATGTGTGTGTGTGTGTGTGCGTGTGTGTGTGTTTGCCTGTGTGTAAGATCGCGCGCACAGTAACCAGATTGGGTTTCTTGTTATTTAATTTTGGATTCTTGTCTGATACAAGGTCAGAGTAGGGAGTTTTTTTTACAGTAATGAATTGGTATCTATCCACGAAGTATTGTTATAAAAATTCCTTTCAAATGTATTTCCTAACATAGCCGACCAAATTACGCATTAAAATCGAAACATGCAAACAATTCACCAGGGAATCTGAAATCTTTGGAAGAGGAGGGGGTCGAGTTGTTTTGGGTTAAAAATTAGAAAATTACAAAAATCGATGGAAATGTCTATAGAATAAACATGGAAATATCTACTGAAACAAGGCTCGGCGCCAATCGACCTCCAGAATTGCCTCAAGGAAAATTTAGACGTCAATTAATGAATAAATAATGTCTTCTATTTAGGTTAATATCTGCAGAAAAATACAATTGAAAAATTAAATTGAATCAGAAATTAAAATTAAAAATTTAAACAAATAGGAGTAGAGTACTTTATTTTTAAGAAAAAAA